TTGTTAGTGCTTGCGTTGTCACAAGCCTCTCGTTAAGCTCTGTGAAGCTTTTCACACGTCATATTCCATGTGAGGTAAGTGGTGCCGATATCTTGTGGAAGTTCCAAATGAAGCACAAGTAATATCCTACCAACCCTAAGAAGCTTTTTATCTGTGTAACTAAGGTTAGGTGAGGTCATTTCATAATGATTTCTACCTTGGCCTAAGTCTACTTGATTTCTACCTTGGCCTAAGTCTACTAAGATGCCTTCTGTCAACATGAGGTGCTCAAGGAAGACTACCACTTGAAGTTAAAATTCCCTTTTGAAGAATTTGACGCATAATTTATGTGCTCTAAACATCAACAAAATTTTTCTTAGGTGGATCTCAATGTAATATCGATAAAAAAAAAAACAATTATGAACATGTTGAGAAAGTCTTTAAATACCCCGTTCTTAGTTTCATAAATGTTGTAAGGGCGTTGAACAAGCCTAAGGACATTACCCTAAACTCATAGTTGTAGTAACAACTTTTAAACGCAGTTTTCGATATATCCTCTTTCTTAATACTGAGTGATGGTATACCTTGATCGGAAGTCTACCTTTGAGAATATTGATACTCATTATAATTGATCGAACAAATCATCAATCCTAGACAAGGGATACTTATTCTTAATGGCGACATTGTTAAGCTCCCGATAATCTAAATATAGTTGCATAGATCCATCCTTCTTATTTACGAATAGCACAGGAGCTCTCTATGTTAATACACTTGATCGAGGAAAACCTTTATCGAGCAACTCAAATTCCTTGAGCTCAGTGGGAGTCATCCTATACGGTGCTTTTGAGATTGAGGTGATTCTTGGTTCCAAATTGATTCTAAAGCTCACTTTCCTAAACGAGGGTAAACCTAATAGCTTCCAAAAAATACATCCTCAAACTCCAAGACTATCGGTAGATATGTTCTTTAAAGAATTGATTACTCCCAGAAAGCAGAGTTATACTATTCAATGGTCCTCTTTACCCATGCAACTAAAACTTCATTTGAGTACTTTTCCTATAATCACAAGGAAGGATCATCTCCAAAAAGGATTTATTTCCTTAAAAAAACAAAAAAAAAAAAAAACCTTTATCACACAAGCAAGGGACCTAATAGAATTTTTGTAAAATATCTATTACTTCACAAATATGGTGAATTATCCCCTCAATCTTAATTTATGGTTTCTTAATTTTAAGTCGTATTCCTCATTTCAAAGTCTATCTCCCTAATGCCTATAAAAATTTGTACAATATTTTACCATCTTATCCAAATAATAGTTGAACAACTTTAAATCAGCTCACAACTCCTACACCTCTGTCATTCTCAAACTTAGCTTAATCCTTTCATTTCATGCCACTTCATTTTGCTTCTTAATATCTATAGTAGCCTATAGGATATTACTATCTACCAAGCCTCTTTGATCATTTTCATTTGAAGCAATTTACTAATATACATGGGTACGTACACCTTTTTTCAACTCTATGGTTACAACACTGCATCATTTTTCTATGTTTCGAAACACCTGAATGAAACACCTAACGTTTTTTTGCAAAAATCATTTTTTGTGTATACTCGTGTTAATTAGCTTACTAATCTCTTTTCATGAGTCTATATCTCCACAATAGTAGATTAAACCTTGCTAAATCTAAACGAGTCTATATCTCCACAATAGTAGATTAAACCTTGCTAAATCTAAACGAGTCTATATCTCCATAATAGTAGATTAAACCTTGCTAAATCTAAACATATTATGAATCATCAATACATCAAATAGCATTCACGAAGTCAATGGCTCAACCAATAATCCTATTTATTGTGATATGTGAGAAATTTGGTCATATTTACCTAATATAGTATCTAACATATTTTAATACATATTTTTAAATATCAACTAAATTTTATAAATATCTTTTCTTTAATGTAACTCAATCCATTAATAACCTCACTCATATTTAAATCCAATAAACATATTTTTTTTCTTATTAAATATTAATTTAAACCTTTCAAATTTTCATTCTACAAAATTAATTTATTAAACTCTTTATGAAATATGTCCATAAATAAATATAATCATTAATGGAATTTGATTCTTCATTTGAAATTTCAATCGAATAAAAAATTCATTCGGTATTTATAACTATATCAAGTAACTTATGTACTTGATATTCTAATAAACAATTTATTTGCAACTCAATTATATATTATGTCTCTCTCTCAAATTCGTGAGAAGGTAAGATCCTATTGTCCAAGTCTTGAAATTATCTCTTAAAAAGAGAATTCATCTACTTTTCTATGTGAGAAGAAATGAATTCTATCTCGTAAATTTAGGTAGCAACTCCGTATTGGTCTATTCCATAAAAGTGTAGACTTAATAAATTAGCTATGAAGGTCATTCCACCCATGCAAGTCAAAAGAACAAGCCCCATAAATAGAAGTTTAAAATTAAAATCATTAACAAAAAGAAATTAAACACTTTTATGATTTAAATTTATACAAACCCATCATATATGATATTTTCACTCACATGTTTCCACATAAATAAATAAGATGATCTCTTATAAAAATTATAAAATGTGTCATATCAACTCAGAATCTGAGCATGATTCTTTAGTACATCAACTTCACAGTGGCTCAAAATTATAATAAAATAACTTTGGATCTTACCGATATAAAATGAAAAATTATTTTATTAACAAATAAAAATATTTAATTACACAAGCTTTAAAACACAATACTCAATAGCTTATACTTTTGTATCTTACTTCTATACTTTGTACTTTCCTTTTCGTTAATGGTAAACAATGTTTTGATTGTTATAAAAACAATTTTTCTTATTCTAATCTAACATAAATAAAATGTTTCATACACAAATTCACAAAACTTCAACCATAAAATTGAGGGGGAGAGCAAAGTACCAAAAAAAAGTAACACAATACTCTAAACACAGATTTTTTATTCGTAGGCTATATTCTACACTTCAAATATGTTTTTCTAAATCTCAGATCTCTCCAAACAAACCTAGTAGGTTCTAATTCCAATGGTTTTATTTATCTTAAACAAGAGCCAAACACCGCTAAGTCTCGCACCACCTATTTTCATTCATCCTCCCTAACCAAGGTAGATCTAATTCGAAAATAATATATGCATTACATTCATTTTTAATTAACCTTTCATCATATAATACCAACACATACATTTTGCCCAATCCTAATATAGAGATATAGAACCAAACATGAGAGCGAGATTGATAAAAGTATAATGCAAGTTACAACTTTTTCCCTTTCTCTCAACATTTGAAAGTTGTCAGACCACGCAAAGTAATCCAAGAATGGCACATTCTTCCTCATGCATTAAATTGCATAGGTTAGATCCCAAAACAAACAAAACAAACAAAAAATCATTATGGTGTTTCACATTCACAAGTCATGAGAGGAAGTCTTGTATGCAGAGTGAGAAATAAAAAAAAAAAAAAAAAAAAAAAAAAAAAAAAAAAAAAAAAAAAAAAAAAAA